AGCAAATAACCCTATTAGAAAATGGGCAGAGGATATGAAGAGACAATTTCCAAAGAAGAAATTCACATGGCCAACAGACACATGAAAAGATGCTCCACATCACTAATCATCAGGGAAATGCAAATTAAAACCACAATGAGGTATCACCTCACAGCAGTAAGGATGGCCAGTATTAAAAAGACTAAGAAAACAAATGTTGGCGAGGATACGGAGAAAGGGGAACCCTCCTACACTGCTGGTGGGAATGTAAGCTAGTTCAACCATTGTGGAAAGCAATATGGAGGTTCCTCAAAAAACTAAAAATAGAAATACCACTTGACCCGGGAATCCCACTCCTTGGAATTTACCCAGAGAATACAACTTCTCAGACTCAAAAAAAGATATGCACCCCTATGTTTATCGCAGCAGCATTTACAATAGTCAAGATACGGAAGCAACCCAAGTTGCCATCTGTAGATGAATGGATAAAGAAGAGGTGGTACATATACACAATGGAATACTATTCAGCCATAAGAAAGAAACAAATCCTACCATTTGCAACAACATGGATGGAACTGGAGGACATTATGCTCAGTGAAATAAGCTAGGCGGAGAAAGACAAGTGCCAGATGTTTTCCTCATTTGTGGAGTATAACAATGAAGCACAACTGAAGGAACATAATAGCAGACTCACAGACTCCCAAGCAGGGACCAGTGGTTACCAAAGGAGATGGGTGTGGGAGGGTGGGTCCGGAGGGAGGCAGATTGTGACTGAGGGAAATTGTGTTTAGTACATATTGTGTTGGGCATCACGGGGAACACAGTGTAGCACAGAGAAGGCAGACTGAATCTGTGGCATCTTATTACACTGATGGACAGTGACTGTAGTAGGGTTTGACTGGGAACTTGATAATATGGGTAAAAGTTGTAACCACATTGTTTTTTCCTGTGAAACCTTCATAAGAATGTATATCAATAGTACCTTTATTTTTAAAAATTTTTAAGTAATAAATAAATAAATGAAGTGGACAAATTCCTTGAAAGATAGAAACCTCCCTCAAGAAGAAATATTTAACCTGAATGCCTTAGATATATTTAAAAAAAATTTTTGTAGTATAAAAACTTACCCTAAGCATATATAAAATAAATGCACTTCCTCATATCCTCTTTGTGTTATTGTCATAAACATTAGACCTTATATTTTAAGCCCACTAGTACAATTTCATAGTTAAGTGCTTTATGCACTTGTCTTTAAATGGGGAAGAAAAGGGAAAGTTATATAACTATCCTTTCCTTTATATTTGCCTACATAATTACCACACTTATAAACTCTGTTTGTTTATATATATTCACATTATCATCTGGTATCACTTCCTTTTAGCCTTAAGGACTTCCTTTAGTATTTCTTGTAAGGAATGTCTCATAGTCACAAATTCTCTCCGTCTCTGTTATCTGTGGAGGTCTTTACTTTCACTTCAGTTTTGGCTTTAAAATAATTGAGATATATATTCTTAAAAAATTAAAATCCCCGTGATATAAAATTTACAATTTTAAAGTGTGTAATTCAGTGCTTTTTAGTATATTCGGATGTGTGTAACCTTACCATTGTTTAATTCTAGAACGTTTCTATTGTCTTATAAGGAAGTCTTTTAGTAGTCAGTCCCAATTTTCTCCTTTCTGCATCCTTTCTCAACCACTCATCTGCTTTTAATCTCTGGATTTGCTTAGTTTCAACATTTTACGTATTTCATACAATATGTGATCTTTTTTGTGTGTCTTATTTCATTCAGTATTATGTTTCTAAGGTACATCTATGTAGTAGTATGTAACAGTACTTCATGTCTTTTTATTGCTGAATATATTTTGTTGTATGGTCATATGAGTTTTGTTCATTCATCAATTGATGGATATTTGTTTGGACTTTTTGGCTATTATGAGTAATACTGCCTTGAATATTCATGTACAAATCTTTGTATGCACATATATTTTCAGTTACCTTTGGTATATACTATGGAGTGGATTTGCTGGTCATACAATAGTTCTGTATTTAACCTTTTGAAGAATTGTGAAACTGTTTTCACAAAGACTATACCATTTTACATTCCCCCAAACAATGTATGAGAATTCTAAGTTCTCCACATCCTTAATAATAATAACTTTTGTTAGAATGTTTTTTTTTTTATACCATCCTAGAAGATTTTAAGTAGTATGTCATGATTTTTAGTTTCATTTCCCCTAATGAGTAGTGATGCTGAGTATCTTTTCATGTATTTATTGGCCATTTGTATCTTTTTTGGAGAAATATTTATGCAAATGTTCTCACATTGAATGTGGTTTTTTTTTCACTTGATGGTATCCTCTGATGCACAGAGGTTTTGAATTTTGATGGAATTCCATTTATTTTTCTTAAAGACCGAATGATACATTTTGAGCTAATTTTTCATTCTTTTGCGTGTGGTTATCCAGAGTTCTCAGCACCATCACTTTCTTTTTTGGAGTATAGTTTTGCTACATGTGGAATTCTTGGTTGATAGTTTTTCCTTTCTGCTTTATGGGTATGTCATCCTACTACCTTCTGGCTTCCATTTTTTCTGAGGAGAAATGTGCTATTAATCTTATGATGTCCTATACCATGGTGCTTTTAGGTTTTTTTTTTTTTTGTCCTTGGCTTTCAACACCTTGGCTTTAGGTCTGTGTGTGGATACCTTTGAATATTCATTGGACCTAATTGATCTTCCTGGATATATAGATTAATTTTTCTCATATTTGGGAAGTTGTCTCCCATTAATTTTTCAAAAATATTTTTTGGCCCTCTTTCTCTGTCTTCTTCTGAGATTCCCTTTGTATGTATGTTGTTTTGCATAGTGACCCTCTGATGGCCTAATTCAGCTTGATTATTTTATATTCATGTTCTTCAGAATTAGGCAGTTTCTTTTGATCTATTTTCAAGAGCCCTGCTTCTTTCTAATACAAGTTCAAATATGTTGTTGAATCCTTCTTGTGAATTTTTCATTTAGCTATTATACTTTTCAATTCCAAAATTTTCCATTTGTTTTTCTTGTTCAAAATAAAAGAAAGAAAAGAAAAAAGTAAAATATATATTAATAAAAATTTCTCTTTCTTTGGTAGTATCTATTAGACTAGGCTTTGTAACCATAATGTGCCTTAGCTCTTTAAACACGGATTCTTTTAGTTCTTTTAATGTATTTATGATAGTTGCTTTGAAGTCATTGTCCACTAAGTTGAACATCTGAGATCCTTGGAGATAATTTCTTTTCACTGCTTCTGTGTTTATGATGCATTATTTATTGTTCCTTTGTATGTCTCATAATTTTTGTGATGATTATGCATATTATGTAGTAAATTGTGACCACTCTGGTTTCTAATCCTCTCTTTTGATGGTGGTTGTTATTGCTGCATTTTTGTTTATAGGTTTAGTGATTTTCCAGGACTACTTTGGAGTCTGTTTTATCTGCTGTTTGTTGCCAGTGATGTCTATACTTGTTGGGTTTGAGTTTTTTCATTTTGTTTTTAAAACCTGGCCTGCTAGGGGTTGCCCCTGGGTCAACATAGTTTGATGGTCAACCAGTGATTTGTTAGTTGTTGTGTTTAAACCCTTTTATCCAGTAAGACTACCACTCTGCCAGTGTATCTGTGTTTGATTTAGACAATGTGTTCAAATTCCATAAGTTACACAACTGCTTTTATTTTTACTTTCTATGTTTGTCAAGCCTCACATTCAGCCAAGAATGAGTAGCTAAGTCCCAAGCATATAATTTATTCTGAATATCACTTTTTGGATCATAAACTACACATGGCAAATATATCTTTGGAACTTATTTTGATAGTACAAATGACAGGTTCAATAATATACTTTGTTGGCATAAACAGAATTTTTATTAATAAGATTTTGATAATTTTTAAAGATTTCCTTAATGATTTTTAGGGAACTAGTTAGTGGTAGTTATGTAAGGAGCCATCTTTGGTAGATTGTTTATTCAGTCTTTTAACAGATATTTTATTTTCTTTTTCATTGATGAATGAGTTCAGTCAATGTCAGTCTCATTTATTTTAAGTTGAAAAACCACTTCCTTTCATAGAATAATCTTTAGACTACTCTCTCAGGTCATTTATTTTTCCATTTATCACTGTAAGTATTGGAATTGCATTGTTTAGGAAAACATTCTTAATTTTTAACTTAAAAATAAATCTTAGCTTTAAGTTAGGGTTTGCAATTTTACCAGTTAGGTTGTTGATCCTTGTAGAAATTCCTCATGGGAAGCTATTGGAAACAAAATTAGAGTTAGTCGTTGCTGTTCTGGAAATGAGGCTGATGGAAATGTCTATGACCAGGGAGCAACTTAGCTTGAAGGATTTATTTGAACAACATTCTGTTAATGGTAAGAGTGAGCATTTTTATACTTGGCAGATAAAGGTCACGTAGGCTACCAAAGACTGGTGTTTCCCAGATTCCCTCCAGTAAACTTAAATGATAACAGTTCTTTTAATGCATGATGACTTCACTTTAAGTAAGGTGGCAATAGCAGCTCTTTGTATTATCTCTAGTTCCATTGTCAGGGGATGTTATGGTGATGATGCTCATAATTAGTACTTCTGATAATTATGTATACAGCACCACTAATGATGTAGTCCTTTATTCACAGATTCATATATTCCCTGGGTTAATTCATGTCTCCCAAATATAACTAAAATGACAGGACCAGTATTGCTGCGTATTTGACCTGTCCTCTGCCAGTACTATTAGAGTCACTTTTTTTTATTGGCCATATCCAATTAAAATGTAAAACATTTTTTTGGAAACTGAGTTGTTGGATAATAAGAATATTTGGAAAATATTTAGCAATATGTGGTAGAATTTTTTTGGTTAAGTAATTCAAATACTCTTTTCTTGAATACTAATTTTACAGACATGAGGTTTTTATTTGAATATGGTATTCTTTTCCACTTACACAGAATACATTGTTGGATTTTTTTTGTTTGGTTGTTTTTTGTTTTTATAGTAATGAGAAAGAAGAACAGGATCAAAAAGAAAAATTGGTGCTGTCAGAAGACTGTGAACTCATTACAATAATTGATGTAATTCCTGGCCGATTAGAAATCACTACTCAGCACATTTACTTCTATGATGGCAGCATTGAAAAAGAAGATGGTGAGGAGTTCTGGGGGAATAATTTCTGTTATTCAATAGTTAAGTATCCAGTTTATCAATCATTAATGAGAAGAAAGCGATAATATGGGACTGGAGTTGTAGTTTATCATGTAGATGGAAAAATAGAAAGTCAGTATGGGATTAAATTTAATATTCAACTGTATTGAAAGAAATCCTTTTTTATTATTAATGTTTTTTAGAAGTTTTGGCTATGGGGGGATTTCTATACACTTGTTATAAAATACCATCTTAATTTCATTTGTATGTACACTTGTTCCTGTAGGTTCTCACCTAATCCTTTATGTGAAAATAAAGGGATATTTACATCTAAAATGCTGGTATAAAAAGAAAGGAAAAATGTTTCTAAGATACAATATTCAAATTATTCCCTAGTATCATGGGAAAGAAAAGGAGAATAGCTATTAGAATTTTTAAGTTTTAAAGAGAGCAATTTAAGTGTCCTATAAATTTAACAAATGGTTTTTGTGATACATAAATTTAATTCCTTTTCCCAAAGTGCTGCTTTTTTCAGGAACTTAGGGATATTTTCTGCATAGCACAAGTATCTTTATATGGTACCTCAGTCACAAGGTTTCTTCTGTTTTCAGGTGTAGGCTTTGATTTTAAGTGGCCTCATTCTGAAGTTCGAGAGATTCACCTGCGACGTTACAACTTAAGGCGGTCAGCCCTTGAGATTTTTCATGTTGACCAATCCAACTACTTTCTCAATTTCAAAAAAGAGGTATGTAAGATGCTACCTTTCTCTAAGTCACAAAGCATTAACTTGAAATAATTCTCCAGCTGGTGAGCTGTAATGAAACTTTGGACACTAGTCTTTCATCAAGTCAAAATATTAGGGGAAAAAATATATGCCTTGAGGCACAAGCAGTATATGAATTTCTGTTGGGATTTGTGTTTGGAGGGTGCTGGTTTTTAGTTTTTTATAAAGGATAGATGAAGAAGTTAGTGGAATATTGATTGTCAGCCTATGAGTGTCTCACAGTATCCAATTAGGAACTAATATTTAATATTTATGGTATGATGGAATTTATGAAATTATGTTGGGTTCAAAGCAACAATAATGGGGCATGTATTTCTTCTAGGAGTACATTCTTAAATAGTGTAAGTGGTTAAGAGATTACTACTGAAGCCATGTTACTTGGATCCAAGTACCAGCTTCACCATTAGCTATGTAATCTTTGCCATGTTACTTAGGATGCTTTTCCTAACTTTCGTTCCCTCTATCACTCACTTGGGGTCAGTATATCACTGTTGGATACTTTTCCAACCTTGACTAGCCTTCTCTGCATTTTCTTTCATAGGCGTCTTCCCTAATAAAATTGTTGCATGTTCAAGTCGGTCTTGGCATCTGCCTCACACATGACCTGGATTACCATGGTCAATAACTAAATTTCTGTTTATTTGTGGGGTCTAGGTTTCCTTACAGATGATTTGATTCAGATGTTTAAAGAGCATTTTTCTATTTTTAAAAATGATACTCTTTTACTACTAAAAATAAATTTTTCCCCATAGGAATATACAACACCTTTATTTTTTAGAAAGCTGTGTCATGTAATTAAATAAAGCAGGTTCCTGTTGAATACTGTATATTTGTATAACTTTATAGTTTTTATTTTTACTTTTTAAAAATTGAACTGTAGTTGATGTGCAGTATTATATAGCTTTCAAGTGTACAACAGTGATTTGGCAGTTATCTACATTATTAAATGCTCACCTCAACTTGTGTAGTTACTATCTGTCAACATAGATGTTACAGAACTACTGACTGTATTCTCTATGGTGCACTTTTATCCCTTTCACTATTTATATTATAATTGAGATTTTGTGTCTCTTTATCCCCTTCACCTATTTCTTCCACGCACCCCAAACCCTCCCCTATGGTAACCACTGGTCTTTTCTCTGTGTCCATGAGTCTGTTTCTGTTTTGTTCATTTTACTTTGTTTTTTTTTTTCAATTCCACATCTAAGTGAAATCATATGCTATTTGTCTTTCTGTGGCTGGTTTATTTTACTTAGCACAATACCCTCTAGATCCATTCATGTTGTTGCAAATAGCAAGATTTTGTTCCTTTTAATGGGTGAATAATATTCCAGTTTGTATATATGTATCAAATCTTTATCCATTTATCTATCCATGGACACTGTAGTTGCTTCCATATCTGGGGTAATGTAAATAATGTGAAAGTAAACATAGTGATGCATATGTCTTTTTGAATCAGGTTTTGTTTATTTTGAGTAAATTTCTAGAAGTAGAGTTTACTGGATCTTGTGGTATTTCTATTTTTAGTTTTTTGAGGAACCTCCATACTACTTTCCATAGTTGCTGCAATAATTTACATTCCTACCAACAGTGTAGGAGGGTTCCCTTTTCTCTACAACCTCCCCAAAACTTGCTGTTTCTTGTCTTTTGGATAGTGGCCATTCTGACTGATGTAAGTTGTCTTGCCTGAGGGTTTCAGCCCTGGGCAAGTTCACTATGGATTTAGTGAGACTGAGAAATGGCAATGGAACATTCTTGGGGTAAAAAGGCATATACCTGGCTTTATGCTCCTGGCAATAGATCAAGCACTAGAATCATGCCTGCATCCAGCATTCTGCAGGTCCGTAATCCACCTCTGTCTCTGCCTCTGCTTCCCATTTATATCTGTCATCTTCAGTTTCTTTCATCAGTGTCTTATAGAGAGTACAGATCTTTCACTTCCATGGTTAGAATTATTCCTAGGTTATCTTATTCTTTTTGTTGCAATTGTAAATGGAATTGTTTTCTTGATTTCTCTTTCAGCTAGTTTGTTATTAGTTTATAGAAATGGCAACAGATTTCTGTATATTGATTGTATCCAGCAACTTTACTGAATCCATTTATTTGTTCTAATAGTTTCTGGTGTGGTCTTTAGGGTTTTCTATATATATATAGTATCATGTCCTCTGCAAGTAGTGATAGTATTACTTCTTCCTTACCAATTTGGATGCATTTTATTCCTTTTCCTTGTCTGATTGCTGTGGCTAGGACTTCCAGTACAATGTTGAAAAAATGTTGGGGGAGTGGGCACTCTTGTCTTTTTCCTGATCTTAGATGAAAGGCTTTCAGCTTTTTACCATTGCATATGATGTTACATGTGGGGTTTCTTATATATGGCCTTTATTATGCTGAAGTTTGTTCCATCTGTATGTACTTTGTTGACAGTATTCCTCATGAAGTAATGCTGAATGTTCTCAAATACTTTTTCAGCACCTGTTCAGACGACTAACTACATTGTTTTTATCCTTCCATTTGTTAATGTAGTGTATCACACATTGATTGGTTTGCAGATATGCAACCATCCTTGCACTTCTGGAATAAATCCCACTTGGTCCTGATCAATGACTCTTTTGATGTATTTTTGAATTTGGTTTGTTAATATTTCATTGAGGAGTTTTGCATCTGTGTTTAGGACTTAAGTCCTGGACTTGAGTTTATTGGAGTTTTTTGATTACCAGTTCAGTTTCTTTACTAGTAATCAGTATGTTCAGATTTTCTGTTTCTTCCTGGGTCAATCTTGGATGATTTTATATTTCTAGGGATTTGTCCATTTCTTCTAGGTTGTCCAATTTGTTGGCAGATAATTTTTCATAGTATTCTCTGATAATTCTTTGTGTTTCTGTGATGTCAGTTGTAACTTTTCCTGTTTCATTTCTGATTTTGTTTGTGTCCTCTCTCTTTTTCTCTTGATAAGTCTGGCTAAGGGTTTATTTTGTTTAACTTCTCCAAGAACCAGTTCTTGGTTTCATTGATTTTTTTCTATTGTTTTCTTATTCTCTATGTTACTTATTTATGCTGTCTTCTTTATTATGTTCCTCCTTCTTCTGACTTTGGGCTTTGTTTGTTCTTTTTCTGGTTCCTTCAGTTGTAAGATGAGATGGTTTATTTGGGATTGTTCGTGTTTCTTGAGGTAGGCTTGTATCACTGTGAACTTTCCTCTCAGAGATACACTTTTGCTGTATCTCACATATTTGAACTGTTGTGTTGCTGTTTTCATTTGTTTCCGTGTATTGTTTAATAATTTGATTTGTTCATTGATCCACTGATTATTTAGAGGTATGTTGTTTAGCCTCCATGTGTCTGTGTTTTCCCTTTTTTCTTCATGTAATTGATTTCTAGTTTCATACCATTGTGGTCTGAAAATATGCTAGATGAAATTTTAGTCTTTTATATTTATTGAGGCTCTTTCTGTGTCCTAATATGTGATCTCTTCTGTAGAACATACCATGTGCACTTGAGCAAAATGTGTATGTATCCTGTTGCTTTTGATTGGAGCATTCTGTATATATCTGTTAAGTCCATTTGGTTGATATGTTGTTAGGCACCACTATTTCCTTATTTTTTGTCTGGATGATCTATCCATTGATACCAGTGGGGTATTAAAAGTCCTCTACTATTTATTGTGTTACCATCAATTTCTCCCTTTAGTTCTGTTAGTGTTTGCTTTATAGTTTAGGTGCTCCTATGTTTTGTGCATCAATATTTACAATTGTTATATTCTTTTGTTGGACTGATCTCTTTATCATTATGTAATGTCCTTCCTTTTTCTCTTGTTACTTTCTTTGATGTCTGTTTTGTCTGATATAAGTATTGGTACTCCTGCTTTTTTCTTTTATTTATGTGGAGTATCTTTTTTCATTCCTTTACTACTTGTATATGTTTTTAGGTCTGAAATGAGTCTCTTATAGGCAACATGTATGTGTATCTTTTTTCTGTATCCATTTAGCTACTCTTTGTCTTTTGATCAGAGCATTTCATCCATTTACATTTAAAGTAATTATTGATAGGTACGTATATATTGCCATTTCGTTAATTGCTTTCTGGTTGTTTTTGTAGTTCTTCTCTGTCCCTTTCTTTCTCTCTTCCTTTCACCCCTTTGATTTGATGATTTCTTCAGTGTTATGCATGGATTCCTTTTTATTTTTTGTTTATCTGTTATAGGGCTTAGGTTTGTATTTACCATAGGTCCATATGTAGACTCTTTAATATATAACAATCTATAGCACGTTGGTGTTTGCTTGATTTTGAACACATTCTAAAAGTACTTACCTTTTTATTCTTATTCCTTCTCCACATTTGATGTGTATTATGTCATAATCTACATCTTTTGGTGTTTCCTAATTTTGCATATAGTTGATTGCACTGCTTTTGTTTTTTGAACCTTATACTCACTTTGCAAGTGATTGGTCTATGCTACATTTACTTTAGATTTATCTTCACTGATGAGAAACACTTACACTTAAAAACAATTCCATCAAAAAAAGTCCCTTTAACATTTTCTGTAAGGCCAGTTCAGTGGTGATAAATTCTTTTAACTTTCATTTATCTGGGAAACTTTTATTCTCTCCTTCAATTTTGAGTGATAACTTTGTTGGGTAAGGTATTCATTGTTGTAGATTTTTCCCTTTCAGTACTTTGAATATTTCATGCCACTCCTACTAGCCTGTAAAGTTTCTGCTGAGAAATATGCTGATAACCTTATGGAATTTCCCTTATAGATAACTATCTGTTTCTCTCTAGTGCTTTTAAGATTTTTCTCTTTAAATTGCTGTTTTAATTACTGTGTGTCTGGGTATGTACCTCCTTAGGTTCATCTTGTTAGGGGCTGTCTGTGCTTCCAGGACCTTGATGTCTATTTCCTTCCTTCCAGGGAAGTTTTAATCTATTATTTCTTCAAACAGACTTTCTGCCCTTTATCTCTCTCTTCTCCTTCTAGGACCCCTATTATTCAAATATTGTTGTGTTTGGACTTGGTACATAGCTCTCTCAGCATCTTCTCATTTTTAGAAATTCTTTATTTTTCCCTGTTCCTCAGCTTGGTTACTCTTCCATACCCAACTTCTGTCTTGCTGATCCATTCCTCTGCCTCCTACAGCCTACTATTGATTCCCTGTGTTGTATATTTCATTTTATATGTTCTCTTTGTTGAATTTCTCACTAAAATCTTCAATTCTTTTCCCCACTTCAGTGAACATCTTTATGACCATTACTTTAAATTCTTTGTCAGGACAATTCCTTATTTCCTTTTCATTAACACTTTTCTGGTATTCTGTTCTTTTGTTTGGAGCATATTCCTCTGTCTCCTCAGTTTTCTGAGTCTCTGTGTTTCTTCCTTTGTATTAAATAGATCAGCTATGCCTTCTGGTCTTGGAAGTGGTTGCTTTATTTTAGTAGGTGTCCTGTGGTGCCCAGAAGCTCAAAACCCCCTGCTCACCAGAGCCCAGTTCTCTATTATGGCTGAGCCAAAGCTCTTGGTGGTGGGCTGTGGGCAAGGTCCGCCTTTCTGCCTCTCTACCAGTAATGTTGGATCTGTAGTGCAAGCCTCTTTGTGCCTTGTACCAATAATGGTGTATCCCCACATCTAGCCTCTCTGTGCCCTTTGAGGTTAAGTGTTTCTACTGGGATTGTGGGTGTGGCCACCCTCTGCCTGCCTGTCAGCAATAGCTGTCTGCTTCTGGGCCCAGCATGCTGGGCAGGGCAGATACACAAGGGAATGCTGGTGCTGAGCCAGCAGAGCAGATGGAAAGTTTCAGAGCTGGCTCGCATGAGCACCTGTCTAGTTGGGCTGAGGGAGGGCTTGAAAAGTGTTATTCTCCTGCCTTTTACCTCTTGGAGAAATCTCTCTCAGACCCCCATCTGTCCAGCATATTTCCCACTGTTAGCAAATCTTTCAAACTGCTACCTCTGTATTTAGTCTCACTGGTACTGACATAGCACGCTAGTCCTCTACAAGTGACTAGAGTCTCCCAGAGTGCTCCAACCCTCCCTGGTGTTCAGCCCTGTTAATCTTCAAAGTCCAGTGCAATGGTAATTCATATTTCCAAAGCAGGTCCTCAGGGCCAGGTATACTACGTTCGTGAGCATTTGTCCCCTCCTTGTGCCATTCCTCTATCTCCCACTTGAGGGCTGGGATGGGGTTAGGGCTTGGACCTTTATAGATAGTGGCTCTGCTCCTTTACCCTTTTCAGTGTGTTCTTCTCTTCTTTGCCAGGTGTAGAGGGTCTGTTCTGCCATCTTTAGGTCATTTTCAGAGTTAATTGTATTCAGTGTAGTTGGTTCTTTGGTATGTACATTGGAGGAGGTTATCACAGTGATCTCCTTTTCCAACATCTTCCCTGGAGCTACTTCCAGCTTTTTACTTTTTATAGCTCTTTTATATGTAGTATTTACTCTTCATAACAGCCTTCAGATTAGATACGGCAAATTCCATTATTTCTTTTCTAATAGATGAGTAAACTGAAGTTCAAATATGAATTTTTTTACTTTATGCATGTATAGGCTTGAATAACTCACAAAACTGTAAGGAAAGAGTTTCTTGTTTAATATACAAAAGACTCAATTAATTGATTTGCCAATATGATTAGTAAATGATAGAGCAAAATTTGGTCTGGACTTGAGGTAGTTTTCTGATTCGGTATCTGATGATCATTCCATTATTCACTGTAACTTTCTCAAAAAAATACATGGCTTGGCTTTAAACCTAGATGGTGAAGTTAAAAAAAGAGTCCTGTGTAATGTCCAAAATAAGTGAATCCATAGAGACTGAAAGTAGACTAGTGATGATTGTCAGGATATAGAAGGGAGTGGGAATTTAGGAGGGATAATGTAATATTTATGGTTGCAGAACTCTGTGAATACACAAAAGCCCTCTGAATTGTATAATTTAAAAGGGTGTGTTTTATAGTATATGAATTGTATCTCAATAAAGCTGTTGAAAAAGCCATAATCCTGGTTTGTCTTGATCAGTTTTTAAAATACAAAATGCTGTTTTTTTTTTAGGTTAGAAACAAAGTGTATAGCAAACTGTTGTCACTTCATTCTCCAAATAGTTATGGAACCAGATCACCACAGGAGTTATTCCAAACATCAGGATTGACACAGGTAGGACATTTTGACAGTTACTGTTTTACAGTTCATTTTATATCTCAGACTTCTGCTTAAAAGTAAAAATTCCTTCGATTATTTCATTTTGATTATTACAACTCCTATTTTTCCATTCAGGTTAATCTTTTGAATTATCCTTGAGTATTTCTTTGTTTCCCTCACATATACAAGTACCCTGTCTTCCAGTTCCCACATCATTCAGTTCATGGACCTAACTTATGAATTCCTCTTTCTTAATAATTTTCTCCTTTTAAAAAATAATTTTTTTTTAGGTTAGAAACAAAGTGTATAGCAAACTGTTGTCACTTCATTCTCCAAATAGTTATGGAACCAGATCACCACAGGAGTTATTCCAAACATCAGGATTGACACAGGTAGGACATTTTGACAGTTACTGTTTTACAGTTCATTTTATATCTCAGACTTCTGCTTAAAAGTAAAAATTCCTTCGATTATTTCATTTTGATTATTACAACTCCTATTTTTCCATTCAGGTTAATCTTTTGAATTATCCTTGAGTATTTCTTTGTTTCCCTCACATATACAAGTACCCTGTCTTCCAGTTCCCACATCATTCAGTTCATGGACCTAACTTATGAATTCCTCTTTCTTAATAATTTTCTCCTTTTAAAAAATAACGTGGGGTTTTGTTTTCTTAATAATAAAAATAATCTGCACATGAAGTAGAGATGGGAGTTAATACAAAAAGCATGCAAAAAGGGAAAAACAATTACCAAAATCCTTATATCATCCAAAGCTAACTAACACTCATGTGTTTTATCCTGACGTATATCCCAGCATCTCTTGAATTTGTACAGCCAAAATCCAAGGAGGACCAATGATTTTTGCTTTCCAGAACTATTAGTAGTCTCCTAATTAGAGTTCCTGCCTACTGGCTCTCTTCTTCCTCTTACATACTCATTAATCTTATTCTTAAATTCAAAATCTATCAACAGTTCTTTTCTATTGCTTATGGAATAAGCTTAACTTAGAATACATTCCCTATTTTCTGTGGAATAACTTTGTTCATAAAAGTATTGATTCCACAGTTTGGTACTCAAGAACAATTATAATTGGGCTTCCTATAAAATCTGTATTAAATCCTTTCCTGTAAACTGTTGCTCTAGTCAGGCAGTTCTCTGAGGATAGTTAACATAATGTTTAAAATTTGTAGACCATTTTAGTACACTAAAGTACTGTTGTTGTTTTTTAATATGTACACTTAAGAAAATATCAACTTACCATAAAACATTCAATGTTGGGTAGTCCTAGAATTAAAAATTTTAAGATGTTTAAATATTTAATTGTAGGAAGGACTTCATTCTTGTGAAGTCTTTAGACTGTAGTATTAGATTTATGTTGTATTTTCTGTTCATTTTCCTAGAGACCAATTTTTAAAAGGAAATGAATTTAGGAGGAGTATATTGATTTTATCTCCCTCTTAAAGCCATTTTGAAGCCCCATTCCTTTTATCAAAAAAATGATAGAGAAAGTGGGAACAAAAATATTATGTTAGTACTATCAGTAATATCTACTAATTTCTAAGAGATACACATTAAGTTTTATTTCTTTTTGTGTACTACCTAGAAATGGGTGAACAGAGAAATATCAAATTTTGACTATCTAATTCAAATAAATACAATGGCAGGACGAACCTATAATGACCTCGCACAGTATCCTGTGGTAAGTTTTATGTAAATCTCAAAAATATGGAATTGCCTTTCAGTTTTATAATAATACAAAAACTTATGTGCATATTTTTTATTTAAAAAGATTAAAAAACTGTTTTACCTTTCTGTGTATTTTCTACTGTGCTATTTTTAAGAAGTATATCAACATGAAAAGTAATTAAAAAATAAAAGCCTTTTTTCCTTCACTTGAAAATTGAATGGAAAATATTGCAGTTGAATTATAGGAAATAATGCTCTTATTTTTTTAACTAAAGGGGAATAAACATTTGCAAAGGAAAAATATTCTTAAACACTATCCCTTATTGTCTTTAGATAAGCATTTGATACTAGATTTGGGGGTAAGAGCTTCTCTAGGAAGTAATGTCTAAATTGTAAATTGTGGCTCTTTTAGTTTCCCTGGATTTTACAAGATTATACTTCAGAAGAGTTGGATCTTAATAATCCATCTGTATTTCGAGACCTTTCCAAACCAATTGGAGTAGTTAATGATAAAAATGCCAAAGCCGTGAGAGAAAAGTAAGTGCCTTTTATCCCTTTTCAAAAATTTACATTGCTCGTTTGGATTTGTACTGATTTCCTACCATGGCCAACCAGATGTTCCTGTTTTTACATGTACAACTATTTTGGATAATCAGAGTCTCATGATTTCATCCCTAAGTTTTCTTGAAAATAACTAAGTTATCCTTCAAGTATCTTAACTATAGTCTCTTTATTTCCCTTTTGCTAAATTTAAAGTGATGTTCAGAATTGCTTTTCATCTTGTGAAAAGCAGTATGTGCTAAATACATAGGTGCTAAAGGGTAATAGGTTGTTGAAATTTTTCTTCCCAGATATTTTAGATTTAATAATCTGTTAATCTAACAGATACCAATATCTACCTAATATGATATTTTGGTAGATATAATAATACGAACCTATTATTCACAAATAATATGAATAAAAACAGTGAAATGTGTAGAGATTCACAAAGTGTTATTTTAATAAGGAAAGGAAATTTTTATACTCCTATGTATTTATGGTCTACCTGTAAAAAACATCTCACATGTCTTTTTCCCAGAGCAAGCTGCTAACAGGTAAAAGAATAATCTGATTTAATTTCCCTTTCTGTCCACATGAATTTTTGGATACTTGTCGGTTATGACTTCTAAAATAAGGTTTTGCAAACAAACTTATTTGTAGATTTTTTGAGAGTAGGTAAGACATTCTTCTTTCTTTCCTGTTGATATGCAGATCTTCCTGAGGACTTTTTGCAGTGTCTGCTATGTGATTTACTAGTAGAATTTTGCTGTGTGTGTATTACTTCACTACCATTAGTCAAAGTGTTTCTTATAATACTGAAAAAAGCCTTTTTTAACACTGTTCTATAGGAATCACTTATCATATGAGTAACTTATTTCATTGATAATCAAAGGTAGGAGTTTTAAGTTTTAACAGAGTATTTTTTTTGCTTTGGTACAAATGACTTTGAACCGAAAACATTAGTAGAATTTTGCTGTGTGTGTATTACTTCACTACCATTAGTCAAAGTGTTTCTTGTAATACTGAGAAAAGCCTTTTTTAACACTATTCTATAGGAATCACTTATCATATGAGTAACTTATTTCATTGATAATCAAAGGTAGGAGTTTTAAGTTTAACAGAGTATTTTTTTTGCTTTGGTACAAATGACTTTGAACCAAAAACATTTTTTATTTCCCTGAATATTAATGATTTCTGTGTAAAAGGAAATTGGCTTCAGCTTGATGAGCTGATTAGCATTATATTTTTAAAATTTCAGTCTTTATTGCCTCCAAAAATCTCTTCATTCATATTCAGACTTCATACCCAATACTTTAAATGTCACCATTCAAACCACCATTCAAAACAATTACACATGTATCAGTGATAGCACTTACAATATCAGTATATATGTACATATATATATATATGTACATCTGTATATCCTTTGCTGATAATGTGATTTAGATCTTCTTTCTACCTTCACCTTCTTCTTTTACCTTTAGATTGTTAGGCATTCATTTCCATAATTATTGGCTGATGCTCCATATTTTTCCATTTCCTTGGCTACAAAATCATGTTTAATTATCACATTGCTTACAGTAGCAGAAAAATACAAACAACCTAACTATTGAAAAGTAAAGAAATAGTTAAATTGTCATACACTTCCATGCATGTACCTGTTATAAATACACATATTTGTTCAAAATAGACTCAGTCATTTGGAAAGACATAAACAGAAAATTTTTAAATGAAAAACTAACTGTAAACAATATATTATGAATAGTACTTTTATATTAAAATATGTGTGTATTAACTTATACATTAAGGATTGACAAATATTCACCAAAATTTTAATATTAATTATCTATGGGAAATGACTACCTAGTTTGATTTTAAGTTCTTTTTTGGTTCTGTTTGTTTTCTGATTTAGCTACAGTGAACACGTATTATCATGTAATACAAAAATGTCCCAGAATCCAGTATTAATGATATTTCATTTTTCAGAAAAAAGTATTAATGAATAAATTTCTTTCACTTATTAACATGATGTAATGATACAAAAATACGTAGATAATGAAAAATATTAATAAAGACTTCTTAAAAACTCTATTATTAACCATACATGTACTCCTAATTTAATTTTGCTCCTATGTTTACAAAACTTTCATTTCTTTTTTTAGATATGAAAATTTTGAGGATCCTATGGGAACTATTGATAAATTTCATTATGGTACTCACTATTCAAATTCTGCCGGAGTGATGCACTATCTTATTCGTACAGAACCGTTCACCACTCTTCACATCCAGCTTCAGAGTGGAAGGTATGGTCTGGGTATATAAGCTGTTAAGATAATATGTTAATACTGAAAACTCTGCCTTCATGTCATGTTCTGTATAACAAGGCCATATCTTTTTTATTCTCCTCTGTTATGTTTTGATTCATATAATAGCCTCTAGATAAAAACAGTCAAACTAGTTTGAGAATGGGACATGCAAACTGACTTACGCCAGTGATTTTTAAGGAGAATTCCTTTTTACTGTTGTCCAGTGTACCGTTGTGAGTCTTACTGGTTTTGGGAACTTACTAGAGATATGGAGTTATAACTGGTTTAAACCTAGATCCAAGACATCTACTAGAGATTCAAACCAACCCAATGCCTGTGTAGTCCTCCTAAAAATTTTTATTCATCAAGAGGAATAAAGAGGGAGGAATGATATTTGTGTACAAGTTTTTACATTATTAGTAGCTCAGAGATCTATGATGCCATCAGTCATATTATCTGTTGGTATTATAACCTATATTTTACATTTTCCTAATAATCTTAAGGAAGTCAACTTTTTCATGAATCCTCAGTTCCCAAGTGTATCCTCCAGGCAGCTCCCTATTTATTCACATTTTGTCTCTGTTGCCTTACTTTTTAACATTAACATTTTTCCGTTCCTACCCAGTCAAGAACTGTGTAAACATTGCCTATTCTCTCGTTCTGTGTAATTATTATCTCTCAGAGTTAACCCTTTTTCTGTCATTGGCACAGTAAGCCTTGGCTTTCAAGAAAAGACTCTGTCCCCAAGATTCCTACACATCTCCGAATGTTACATTTACCATTATAGCAGGTAATTTTCTCCCTATCAAAGTGTAACTGGATCTTTTCAGCTCTTAATGATTTTATGAATAAATGATTATTTTACAAAACTTCAAAAACAGATTCTGTTTGTGCTTCACAGGATGCCATCAAGAAAGTGGAGAAACAACCCAGTCAGTGGGATAATATATTTACAGATTGTATATCTAATAAGGGGTTTTTATCCAGAATATATAAAGACCTTTATAACACAATAATAAAAAGACAAGTGATCCAGTTAAAAGCTGGAAAGGATCTTGATTTCTCCAAAGAAGATATACAAATGTTCAATAAACATATGAAAAGTTGCTCAACATCATTAGTCATCAGGGAAATTCAAAACAAAACCAAATTGGGATTCCTCTTCAAGGATGACTGTAATCGAAAAGACAAATAGATAATACCTAGTGTTGGTGAGCATGCCAGGAAATTGGAATCCTCATGTACTACTGTGGAATTGTAAAATGATTCACTGTCTGGAAAACAGTCTGGCAGTTCTTCAGAGGGTTAAACATAGAATTACCTTGTGATCCAACAGTTTCACCTCTAGTATATACCCAAGACAATTGAAAACATATTTACATAAAAACTTGTACACAAATGGACATAGCAACATTATTTATAATAAGCCAAAAAGTAGAAACAACCTTAATGTCCAACTGATAAAGGTATAAATAAAAAGTGATATATTCATACAATGGCATATTATTTGGCCATGAGCTAATAAAAGGGATGAAAGATTGATACATGATAACAGCATGGTTGAATCTTGACAATAATATGCTAAATGAAATAAGCCAGACACAAAAGGCCACATATTGTATGATTTATGTGAACTGTCCAAAATAGGCAAATACATAGGGATAGAAAGTAGATTAGTAGTTGCTGGGGTGGAGGTAGGGTGAATGGAGAGTGACTGCTAATAGATAAAGAATTAATTTTTGGACTAATGAAAGTGTTCTAAAATTGATTGTTCTGATGGTTGCACAACTCTGGGAATATGCTGAAACCCATTGAATTGTCAACTTAAAAAGGTGAATTATTTGTAAATTGTATCTCAGTAAAGCTGCTCTCCCCAGCTCAAACAAAAAGATTTTACCACTAAAGCTACACCTGTCCTTGACTTTGGATACACCATCATTAGACTTTATTGATGACCCAGTCATTGACTATAATTAAATTCAGAGGTCTGCTAAGTTCATTTGTGCTTCGAACCAAGATTGGTAGGCATAAAAAAAATGAAATTATTTATTTGTGTCACTTAAGTTATTACTAAATAAATCCAGGAAAACTGTATCAACAGAATGAGTTTATGCATTTTGTGATTAGAGAAAGCATTATTGCAGCATGACCACTTAAGCTGCTTTCAATTACCATAGGCCCATGATGGAACTTAAAAATAAAGTTGAAATAAGATAATAAGATGACAGTATGTGCAAGTAAAATATAAACTCTTTAGCCACAGATCTGTTTCCCTAACATCTGTTTTTTAGCAGAAGAGTTTATAAAGATATTTATGTATGGAGAATTAAATCAGCATTCCTGTAGATCTATTAACTCATATATTAGTAGTGATATTTAAACTCTGTGATTTAAACATCCAAATAGTAATTCATTTTCTGTAATAAATTTTACTCAGCAAAAATTGTGCCATTTTTAAAAAGTCTCAGGTTTATATTTAATTTAATTACTTGAGAATGTTCTTCAGTATGATCTGGTTTTCCTCTATTGTAACTTAAGATCTTACTAGTGATTAAAATTATAGTATTTAATTCCTGACAACAAAATATGAAAGATAGATTATCGTAAGAAAGAGCAAAATCATGTTTTTAGACATTAAAGAGAAAGATGAAGCAAGAAAAGCTCTAATCATTAGGAAATTTGAAAGGAGTTTACAGGTTTGTTTCATACTGGTTGTTCTCATTCAATATTCATTGCTCTCTTTCAATCTCTATGTGCAGGTTTGACTGTGCAGATCGACAATTCCATTCCATCCCTGCTACCTGGCAGGCTCTCATGGACAATCCATATGATGTGAAGGAACTTATTCCTGAGTTCTTCTACTTCCCAGAGTTTTTGGAAAATCAAAATCGTAAGAAATAGGAGATTAAAAATCTGACTCAACAGGTCCTAATAGAAGATCCTGAAAAATACCTTTTGGGACATTTTTGGAATGTCCAATAGATTATTTAAGGTTCATTCTGTCTGTGTATGAATCAGTAACAGGGCTTACCTGATGCCCAGATACTATTCTTACCTTCAGGGAAGTGCTACAGTAAGTTTAAAATAAATTAGTCAAATCTAGTAAGAGAGTTTCTCAGCGTACAGTGTTGACTAGAAAAGCAAAAATGGCCATATGTAATTTCAGCCATATGGTTACTTAGGTTGGTGTTTATGTTAGATAAGATGAGGGTTTAGACTAGGGTCACAGCCAGCTGATTAATTTATGTATAAATTGTAGCTACTTTCACAGTGTAATGCAGATTTGAGTAGTTGCATCAGAGACCATAGAACTCACAATGCCAGAAATATTTGTTCTTTGACACTTTATAGAAAAAAATTTGTTGACTCCTTGTTTAGAATAGAGGAGAGAAGATCAATTTAAAATGACATGTTGTAAGTTACCACAATACTTGAAAAATCATGTTTTTGAAATAGAGAATTATTTAAATACAGTCTTTGAAAATATGCATATATGTCTTCTATGAGGTAGTTTTTGATTTAAGCACAAATGAGGAAATCATCAAAGTAGTTAATTCTGGTATTCCCTAGAGAAGAAGTTCCAGTGTCAGTGAACAATTACCAACTTCTTTTTCATCCCCTAACATGTGATGTTAATGTTTGACCCTTTGCTTCCTCAGTAGAACTTCCTTGTCATGCTGGGAGGAAAATGTCCAGGGCTCTTGTCCTTTGATCTTGCACTGTAGGACACGCTGCTGGAGGCCGTGCATCTGACTCTGAGAGTTAGGCAGTTAGAATTAGTCACTTTCAGAAATCAAGTGAATCTGTTAATTGAGTCTGGTCCCAGACTCTTAGCTGTAGGACTGGAGTCTCCTAAAGCTGGGTATCTGGGATAGGGGGGATGAGCAGATTAAATGTGGACACAGAATTTAAGGTGCTCATAGCTTCACAATTTTTTATGTTTACCAGAGCCAGTTGCTGTCTTGCACTTCTGTCCTGGTGGCCTCCATTTCTACATTGCTTCTTTGAAATAAGCTGGGTGGGAGAAAGCAAAGTACATTAGTTAAAGTACCAACAATCCTAATATTAATTCATTCCACAAATATTAATAAAACCAATTCCATATTTATGTCAACAAGAAAATTTTAGTTATTTTCCATAATAAAAATCCCAAGGTGTGGTAATTTCAGGTAACTTAACACACCATCCAAACCAAGTTCTTCCTGTATTTTCACTCTGCTGTTCTAAGTATTTTGGCTTTTTATTTGGCTAGTTCCTCTCAAGGTTACAAAGGACTAAAGCAGTTCTAGGTATCATAGGCAGATACAACAGTGTCTTAGAAAGAAGTGGGTCTATTAATTCTTTGTGTTAAGAGCTGGGTCATATACCAACCCCTACACTAGTCACCTGCAACAGAAATGAAATACACTGCAAGAATGGACACATGACTACTAAGGTTCTGTTACCAAATAAAGAGGGATAGGTATCAGTTGGGCAACAAACAATGTCTGCCATACAGTGGTTGGGTTAACAAAGCCACTGACCCTGTGAATCCTGTCATTCTGTAATACTCAAATCTTTCTCCAGCTTTGGGACACACTGCTATTTTATGTAGCTTCTTTTATGAAGGTCTTTTTTGTTAACACTTTCCCCTCCCCACACTATGTGAACAAGAAAACTTCATCTTTGGGATAATTTTGTCAAATTATATGAGCAAATCTTTATGATATCAGTATCTACTTAGAATAATGGTATGTAAATATATTTTTCTCCTATAAGACAGATAATAACACTTCCATTGAGTGAGTTTAAGGTGTGATACACTAAAAAGCTTTAGGGAGCTTTATTTTGTAAATTAACCCTAAGAGGGGATTGTTAATTCTTTTTAATGTAAGAAGAATACCTAGTATTGCAATTTTGTTCAGATTAAGCTTTTGGTCATATCTATGGTTTCCCCCACTTCTCAACCAAAAATCAGTGATTAATCTGATTTACCTCATAGTGACTAATTTTAAACTATTTTATTTTGGTTTACCTTTAAATCAGCTGGTAAAATGCATTCCAGTAGATCAGAGTTATTTTTACCTGTTCAATAAATTTAGATCAAGAAGGGAACTTGATTCTCAACTTTCACTCTTAATTAAAGAAGAAAAAAAAGCCTTCAGTTCTGATAAGTAACATGCACTCATTTGTTTTACTTGATTTATTGAAGTCTTAAAATGATTTGATACATTTATTTTTTATGTGTCCTAGAATTTAACTTGGGTCATCTACAAGTTTCCAAAGAACTAGTAAATGATGTAATTCTCCCCAAATGGGCTAAGTCAGCTGAAGATTTCATCTGTAAACATAGGAAAGCTCTGGTAAGATTTTTGTGTTTGGTTATTAGTAAGTTAAAAGTAAGTATTAGTAAGATACTTAGTATCTTAATAAGTTTTAGTAAGTTAAAGATGTAGGATTAGTAAGATAAAGATGTACATGTTTTCCAGAGCATTGAATAAAATATATCTAACATTATTTTTCTAGACTAAGATGTAATGTCTAATATATGCTATTTTAGAAAGTACACTTACAGGAATTTATTTTGAGTTTATGAATCTTCTGATAGTAAAAGTATAGTACATGGATAGAGAGCCAAAAAATTTCAGTTCTGTAAGACCTGCCTGTTGTATGTGAAGTTATTCCAGTCACCAAGCTGGTATAGTTTGATGTTTTGTAGTTCCCACATTTGTTAAAATCCAACAGGGATAAGTACATTTTTGTTTTCTCTGAAGGATTTCAGTAATTTTTTAATAAGACACCTAAATCCTAAATACCATTTAAAAACACATTGTTAGCTTTTAGCCAAATTTCCAGTTTTGAATTGAAAGACTAGTGAGTGTTAGTTTAATGATATTGTGTGTTATCTTGCACATAATGTATTTTCTCCCCACAATAGCCTCTATGCAAGCTGAAATGTTACATGCTCTGGAACTGATTAGGCCAATACTTGGAAACATTCCTTGTCATTAGAACATTGCTTGTCAGATTTACAAAATTCAGGAGTAGATTATAATATTTGTAAGGAATAACCCTGTACATGAATAAGGAACTGGGGAAAAAAAATAAAGCAACTCTGAAAAACAATGTTAACAGCTAGCCAGGAACGTTTCAGATTGTAAATCCAGGGGTATAAATCCCAGGGCAAAATACCTTTGAAACTGAAATCAGTCAAAGGGAGAAATAAAGTTTAAGAAACCTATTTATTTCTTACAAGCAGTCATCCAGTCTCTCTCTTGACCAGGCTGCAGCAGAAGAGAGTTCCACCCAACCTCTCTGGTCCAGATAAACCCTCCCATGCCCTTTTAATTACCTATTGATATGTAGATGGCCTACCTTTCTCCAACCCATGGAAACACCTATTGATATGCAGATGCACTAAAGCCGGCAAAAGATTCTGGAAATATTACAATTTTACCCACAAGATGCTTTTCTCTATATTATCTATGACATGAAGTAGGAGTCTATGATTTTAGAAAGACATTAATATGCCCTTATTAATATGTTAAAAGTTTATATTTTAGTGATGTAACAAAGCACAGCCTTAAAACTCTAGTCATTTCATTGTCACTCACAGTTGTGTGAATTGACTGGTCTCAATGGAGCTATTCTTTTCTTGCTTGAAGTTCTCATGCACTTGCAGTCTTATGGCAGCTAATGGAGACATTTGGAGGCTGCATTGATACATTGGGATGCTGGACATTCCTCCCTCTCCATGTAGTCTCAGGATATCTCCTCTTCATGTGGTCTCTCTAGCTGGATAGCCAGACTTCATACATGGTAGCTCAAGGCTCCACAAGAGTGCAGAGGTGGAAGCTTCTACACTTTCTTTTTTTTTTTTATTTTATTAAGGTATGATTGATATACACTCTTTTGAAGGTTTCACATGAAAAAACAATGTGGTTACTACATTTACCCGTATTATTAAGTCCCCACCCATACCCCAATGCAGTCCACCGTCCATCAGTGCAGCAAGTTGCCAGAGATCCACTATGTCCCTTCTCTGTGATACACTGTTCTCCCTGTGAACCCCCACACCATGTGTACTGAATATAATAACCCTCACTCCCCTTCTCCCTCCCTCTCCAACTGCCCTCGCACACTCCTCCCCTTTGATAACCACTAGTTCATTCTTTGAGTCTCTGAGTCTGCTGCCATTTTGTTCCTTCAGTTTTGCTTCATCATGATACTCCACAAATGAGGGAAATCATTTGGAATTTGTCTTTCTTTGCCTGGCTTATTTCACTGAGCATAATGTCCTCCGGCTCCATCCATGTTGTTGCAAATGGTAGGATTTGTTTCTTTCTTATGGCCGAATAGTATTCCATTGTGTATGTATACCACATCTTCTTTATCCATTCATCTACTGATGGACACTTAGGTTGCTTCCATATCTTGGCTATTGTAAATAGTGCTGCGATAAACATGGGGGTGCATATGTCTTTTTGAATCTGAGAAGTTGTATTCTTTGGGTATATTCCAAGGAGTGGGATTCAGGGATGAAATGGTATTTCTATTTTTAGTTTCTTGAGGAACCTCCATGTTGCTTTCCACAATGGTTGAACTAGCTTACATTCCCACCAGCAGTGGACAAGTGTTCCCCTTTCTCCGCATCCTCACCAGTATTTGTTGTTCTTAGTCTCTTCAATGCTGGCCATCCTTACTGGTGTGAGATGATATCTCACTGAGGTTTTAATTTGCATTTCCCTGATGATTAGTGATGTGGAGCATCTTCTCATATGTCTGTTGGCCATCTGAATTTCTTCTTTGGAGAACTGTCTCTTCATATCCACTGCCCATTTGTTAATCAGGTTGTTTGCTTTTTGGGTCTTGAGGTGTGTAAGTTCTTTATATATTTTGGATGTTAACCCCTTGTCAGATGTGTCATTTACAAATTTATTCTCCCATACTGCAGGATGCCTTTTTATTTTGTTGATGATGTCCTTTGCCATACAAAAACTTTTTAGTTTGATGTAGTTCCATGAGTTCATTTTTGCTTTTGTTTCCCTTTATCAAGGAGATGAGTTCAGGAAGAAGTTGCTCATGCTTATATTCAGAAGATGTTTGCCTATGTTGTCTTCTAAGAGTTTTATGGTTTCATGACTTACATTCAAGTCTTTAATCCATTTCGAGTTTACTTTTGTGTATGGGGTTAAACAATAATCCAGTTTCATTCTCTTGCATGTTGCTGTCCAGTTTTGCCAACACCAGCTGCTGAAGAGGCTGTCATTTCCCCACTGTATGTCCATGGCTCCTTTATCATATATTAATTGACCAT